AAGAGCAGAGAGTATGTAACCTCTTAGGTAAGCAAGAACTTGTTTTATCACTGGACTTTGCTGATGTCTCATCTGACTGACCAGCTACCGAATTTCGCTCCGATTCATCAAAATCTAAGTTCTCAGCAAAATTTGTTGGGCAGGTCCCCCAAAAACCTGATTTTCCTGTAGCAAAACAGTTTAGCTTCTTTTCCCTATTACAGCTGCTTGTGCTGTGCTCTGGAGAATCTTTGCTGCAGTCATCTGAAGCATCGCAAAACTCTTCAAATTTCAGTTTTCTCAGGAATGTTGATGGTTTCCTTGCATTTTCTTTTCCATCAGGAGTGTTCAACTGAAGGCGACTGAGAGACAGAAAAGGAGTGCACGGTGGTGGAAGATCATAAAGTTCTTCATCCTTATATGGGGTACATTCCTCCATTTTATTCCACTGCTCTTCTAAGCAGGCATCCATATTTGTAGTATTTTCATCCAGGAGAACCCCCTGACAACCTGGAAATAGTTCTTTCTTCGGGGCACACTGGGTATTTGAGCCATTTGAACCATCTTGACTAGAAGAGCTTAAGCAAGTTCCACCACTTGTCAGCTGTTCGAGACTGTCAGGACTTTGACTGGTAGTCAAAGCTTTTTTCTCCTCAACTTGGTTTTTCAAACATGTTGTATCTTCACTGCTTTCAGCTCCTTTAGCATCTGTGGAAACCACTCTCTCGCTAACAGCAGTCGCTGTCTGGGTTCCTTCGCCTGCATTTTTCAGCTGTAAAAGCTGACACTCCATTTCTTCTATGTATTTATCACTTCTTTCCAGTGCCTTTTTTAGACGGTTCATTTCACGTTCACTTTGTTCTACTTTGGACTGAAGTGCAGCTACTGTAAACCTACCAAACCTGCAAGAAGTAAAAAAGAAAGGAAATATTAAGCTGGAAAAAGACATTCTCGTAGTGCTTTGCGAGCTCGTTTCACAAAAGAACGAAGCTATTAAACATTGTGTTAATTTGAAAACACAAGTCAGAACTTTTCTCTGCTAGTTACGAAAAAGAATAAATCATCATATATAAAGTCCAGGTGGAGGTGAATACCTGAAAAGCCAAAATTAAACTATTAGTGGCAGTAAGGTAATAACAAGCAGATTACCCTTTCAGGGGCTGGTTCTATCAATTCAACTCAAATATGCATGAAGAATTATCCCCTAAAACAATGGCAAAGATTTATGATAACATTTGAACAGTGGTCCACATCTTGAAATATTTACATTCAATCATTTTCCTACAGTACAGCAGTGTTTTACAATACATTTTTTACACAATGTCACCTTGTCAAATATAAAATGCCAATATGAAATTCAGAAATTGCAATAGTCCTTTGAGGTGGTTTAAATACTTATATAGGCCATTTCAATTATGTTCCCGTTAGATATACAGCTTTTCCTCGGCCATCGTGTGGATGGTACTTCCACTTACTTCAGAGCTGCTTGTTTTTTTGAGCTTTACAACCGGAACAATCTAATTTCTTCCTTGACTCCAATACAAAAAACCTGCCACTTGTGGTTTGTGAAAGTTGTGTGTTCGTGGGGGTTCCAGCTTGAGCACAGTTTCAACTGCCAAGATATGGACTGGCCTTCCACCCATCCTCCACCAGCTTTCAAGACTGACCTTCCCCAGAGGGCAGGTGAAGGTTTCAACTATATGCCCTGACTAATTCTAACCTATCACTGACAGGTGGGCACCAGGGAATTCCCTGCTCCATCCAAGGCTTTCAATTTACAGAAAGAAACAACAATTAAAGTTCTGGTATCATTAGGAAGGAGGGAAGGACCTGCAGTCACCCTACGACTCTGACACATAAGGTTTTATATCACAAAGAAATGACAATTCTGTATATGGGCTTACACTAATCTCCACTTTCCATCTTGCCGCTCCATGTTACAGCACAAGTTTACATTCACTCTTCCAGCACAAACACTGCCTGGAATTTCCACCCTGTTTCTTTGTCTGTCTGTCTGTCCCTCCTTCAGCATCTTTCAGAGTCACAGGGAATTCCCATTCCATTTTCCCCATTCCATCCCCTCACCCCTTCGCAAAATGCTCCCACTGCAACCCTTAGACCAGTGAGGTCTGAAGGTGGTCTATCTGTGGCCTGCGATGATGCTGGCAAAATATCCCTGAATCTGTGCACGCATTTCCAGCAAAGAACCAAACTGTATTTTGTTTCTTAAATTCCTGAGCCTAAAGCAGCAGGAAACCGCCCTATGCTGACAACTGCAATACAGTTAAGTGGGCAGTCGGGGAAAGGAATAAGGGGTATCACAAGCCCCAAACAAGTTGGGCATGAGCGACCAGATCTACTGACATATTTCACCGTTCAACTGCATCTGCATATTTAAAGGACTTTGAAGATTTTGTTGTAGATGCTTCAGTGGTGGGGAAGATTCACACAACAGTCTAAGTCAGTTCTTTCACAGAACTGCTGCTAGACCACTTTTTAAATCAGATCAGCCTAAGCTCCACACAGTTTTGGTATTTGCCACTCACTGCTCTGTAGACACGCAATGGCAAGGTAGTAGTTTTATATTTAGAATAGGAGTGTTCACTTAGTAAGATTCCCCCGCCCCCCCCCCAAAGGAAGCTGGCTGAATTGGAACTCTGTCGAGGGAAGGACCCCCCCACCTCCGCATTACCTCTACCCAATTACCTTTGTCTTCATAAAAATGAAGACAGACCATTTTTTATTTGCTTACTCTACGGGTAACAAGTTTTCTCAATTGATTATAGCAGTTTCTCCATTTCTGGTTGCACGCAAGAGCGAAATGGGAGAAAGGTACGCAAGACTTCCTGCCTCCCCTCTATGAAACTAGATAAAAGCAGAACCACAGACAGCTCAGGAATGTTTCAATTATATTTTCAGATGAAGGGTGTTACAATGAAATAAGCATCCTCATATACAACACATTTTGGCTTATTCCCTCCTTCAGTAAAAGGAACTCAGATCTTGGTTTAAAATACCGAAGGAGCCACTGGAGTACAGCAGGGCCCAAGTAAGACCCTTCCTGCTTCCTAGGGTGATTCAAAAGTATTTATTTTGCCTTTCTCTAGTGTAAGGTCTTGTGTGAACCAAGACCTGTTCACACAGCCTTACAGAAGCAAGCCTTACACTGTTTAATAAAGGATATAAAAATGATGCAAAAATACAATTTAGCTTAATAGCCAAATGAGAGATGGGGGAAAAAGCTTATGTAAAATAAGCAAGATTTTCTGGGGTCTGTTGTAATGGACATTTTGATATAAAAATTAAACATGTTTACATTTGTATGCATACCTGGCAATTCCTTTTTAATGGAAGAATGGTGTAATATGTTTATTTAATGCAAATAACATTAGTGACAGCCTGAGATGTGCTTATGAGGAAGAAGCACTGTATTGTCAAGTGCAACTTTTATAACAAGTGTCCTCAGGTTAAAAAAAAACCAACTCAGTATGTTGTTCAAAGCCAAATAGCATCACTAATATGTTAATTGTTGTAGAGGGACGTGCTTGGGAATTTTGGTTTTCAGAAACGGAGCATCTGACATGCTGCCTAGAAACAGTTACCTCTGTAGTTAAGCACCAGAACAGTAGTTGCTTTCTGTTCCTGCTTTGAGACTTGCGTGCATTTATTTCCCAAATTTTCACGGACATGGATTTTTAAGACAGCCGTATTTAAACCAGTTACTCCAGACCAGAGCATGACATAGTGACTGACCTGGCAGGTCAGCAGACAGTTTAAAAGACATGCATATTTTGGTTAAAGAAACCAGAACCCTACCCATCTCCCCAAACCAAGCCACTCTCCTAAGTGATCTCCTTTTCTTTTCCCTTCAGATGTAGTGAGCTGTGCCATAGCTAAAAAGTTATGGTCTGATGATAATAATAATAATAGAATGCAGTACAGTTACATGAAAATAAATTAAAGTTTGGCCTGACACTCCAGATAAATTATTTTTCCTGAAGTATCTGAACCATTTCACACTTGGTAACAATTTGATACATTCTTCAGTAGAAGTTAAGGTATTCAGTATACATGCGGTAAAGAGCACTTTTCATATCCTCATGCATGGACAAAGTCTTTTCAGTGTTAGGGTCTTGTTCTTTAGTTGTATCACTTAAACAATGCGTTTGTATCTCACTGCATTTGTTTCAAGTACATCCTCTCTACAGAAAGCTGAAAGCCCAGAGAAACTAGTGGTCATTCATAAAGTGAAAAGAAAGACATTTCAGGTGGGAGTTGGATCCTTCAACACAGACACCTAGGGACATTTTAGATGGCCTAAGGTCTTTTACATGACTGCTAGCCTCAAGCTATCACTCCGGAAGGGTACAGGTCTCCTATCGGTCCTGTATCACAGCTGCCAGCCCCAGGCAGGTGTACTGGATATGTTGTAGTGTCTGAGGTGACACTGGATGTCTAGATGAGCACTTGAACTCCATATTTCAGGACCTTTCCTCAGAGTCTTTCTTCTTGTCCCAGCATTATTCTAACTTGACACCAATCAGAAAGCTGCAGTCAGCTCTCACCTACAGTGAGCAAGAAGAACTAACGTTATAGCTATAATGTTTGAGTAACCCTCTTTCACATTATTTTATTCCACAACTGCTCCCTCAGTTATGTTCGAGTACTCCTGAAGATGTCCGTTTAGAAACTGTTTGGGAAGTTTAATAGTCTCTCACCCACAAGAGAACAAATTTCTTCAGTTGTTTCTTCTCTTCTTATCTATCAGTTCTGCAAATTCAGCTTTAGGGTTTTATTTTCACACATCAGTGACCACTGGCTGCAGCAGGTCTGTCTAGTTGAGCCCTTAACTCATATCAACTCAGTTTAAAACGACACAGCCTCATACAAACATTTCTCTTTGTGGATAGCAAGCAGCTGCAGCAAATAGTTTTCCTGTATAACCATTTACAGAAGACTGGGGCTGCAAGAATGCCATGAAAGATGACTCTCCAGTTCTAATCACCTGATGGCCCAGACTGCGAATCGTCCTGCGGCTCAGATATGTGAGCATGATCCATCCTCCAAAAGAAACACAAAAGGTGAGAAGTGGGAAACGACAATATGCAGTCAGGGCTTGTCACAGTTTGAGATCAGGGCAATGCCAGAGTGCACAACCAAACCCTGTCTCATGCAGTTAGATGGGCAGAAAGAGGTAGGGAATCCAAGAACAAAACAGCTGAAAGCCCTACTATTTCCTACAGCCCTTCTGTGATATCATGCACCAGATGCAGCTGGATGAGACAGAGTTCTGCAATCATCCTCTACATCAACTATGAAAGGTGATCTGCAGCAACATCTTGACAATATCCCAGGTTATATACAATTGCCTTAAAAGTCTGTCATAGTTGCATAGGCATGTTTAAGAAGAAAAAACAGTTACTGTCAGATGGCGGCCTTTTCCTAGCAAGCAAGAAAAAAAAAAGTCGAGACATATACCTCAAGCATGTTGCTCTATTTAAGTTCTGAAGCCGGGGGGGGGCGGGGAGGGAAATCAGTAATGGAATTTGGTTCCACTGAAGAAAAAGTCCTGGGTATAGCCTACTACTCCTTTCCGTTCTGCAGACCAGGCTGGCTGACAGAAGAAAGTGTACAATGGTTCCTTCTTGAACGAAGCAGTAGAAACACTTGCTATATCTAATTTTCTAAGCTTGTAAAAGAACAAGTTATTTTCAATATAAGCAAATACCGAGCAGTAAATCCCTTCCATCGCACAGTTCACAGAGTACAAACCAATCTGAAGACACACGGCCTTCCTCATTAAATCTCTCCTGAGCATCAGGGAAATCAAATTCCTTCACATCACATGAGTAAGCCTAAGCTTTACTGTTTGTTGGATGGCTGTAGAGCAGCAGGATTTGAACAGAAGAACAGCCAAGGTACATTCTTTGAAAAGAGCTTCTCCTTTCGCTTAGGGAATTGGGTGAATTCAGATAAACGTACAAAGCCTTTCCAAGCATTTTTTTAACATCTTTCAGTGAAGCAGCACTGGTCTTCCACGTAGGAAAGCCAGATTATACCCGAGGTCAGTGAATAGCATGAGCCAGAAAGCATTACTTCAGAACTAATACAAAAAACCACCGGAAAACCCACAAAACCAAGCAGTGACATCTGAATGTCCTTACCCATCTGCTTAAGGTTTAGATCTTCACACCTGGAATGGGTGCTTCCTCAGGGTTTAAAGCTATGACTCAAGAACTCAAAGTTGTTTTGAAGGCATTTTCTCCTATTTACTTTTAAGGCCACACTGCAGCTGGTCTTTGAAGATGGCCACTCCTCTGTGCAAGCAAGTTTGCGGGGAGGTGAGAAAGCAGCCCAGTTTTCTATCAAGGAAGATAGCAGCGTTCTTACCCTCTGCACCCTGGACACAGGTTACCAGAAGCCTATGTGTAGGCTCAGTGAAATGCAGGCTGAATTAAATAGTCTGGTGTGAGTGGGAATATTTGAGTTAGATAAAAATTGAATGTTGTACAGAATGACCTAGAAAGTCAACAGCCTTAGAATTCAGTGTGCTGGTACCTGAAGTCACAAATCTAGACAAGATAAACAATAAAACTGGAGAAAGGGGAAAAAAAAACCCAAAACAACAACAATAAAACAACTCACAAAACCAGAGAAAAGAGATAATGCAACAATTTTCTGCATGTTACAGATAGTTTTTCAGACTGGGATTTTAACTGGCAGAAGAAATTAAATATTTAAGGAGAAGACTCCTAGGAAGCCTAGAAGTCTGGTTCAAGCTAATTTGAATCTAACCATTCATAAAATACACTATACCCTGGAGTAGATGGACTTGCTAGTTATTTTCCTTCAGGTAAAAAGCAAACATCCCTTTGCCAAAAATGCTTTTAGATCCATTATGCCTTGCCAATAGACCTAATAGTTTTCTTTTTTAAGTAGAGCTGGAAGTAATACGGCTTTATCATCCTGCAAAACTTAAGTTTTAGAAGTTTTCCTGTTCTGTATCAGGAAAACGGAAGTCACTGAAAATTACTCAGGAGAAAGAGCAAATGAAGAGCAAGCAACAACCAGCAAACGCTCAGTCTGATTTGCCTGAGAAATGGGAGACTAACACAGGTCTTTGGTAAGAATCAGAGCAAGAAACTTACCTCTATCTGCTTTGCAGACCTATGTCCCAACTATATGATGGTATGGTATTCTGGTGAAGGTCTATTCTCAAAAAGTATTTCATTAAAAAAAAAAAAATCTAATCAATCAACATAATCAATTAAAAAATTGTGTAAAAATCCCTGACATGGCTGCAATGTCAATTTTATTGACATACACGACATTTTTCAGCAGGTTTTAATGGATACGAATAAAGAAAAAACAATTCAAAACTATGATAAAAGGAAAGTTTTTTATTGACCACTGAAGAAGGCTAATTATATTTTTCCTGCAATGTCAGAGGTAGAGTCTATGTTACAAAGGGATCATTCACCTGCCATCACTGTTTCCTTTGCTGTAAAGCAAAGCCTACTAAAATAATTTAGGTTGTGATATTTAGCTCCAGTGTCATTATGCACAAAATGAACTACATTTGGGATAAGGGGACTGAATACTGACAAATCCTTTCAAAAATAATTTGATAACAAGTTTTAGTTAGTTACCTAGCCAGTTGTTTAAGCATGAATCCATACCTGACGTTCTGAAGCTAAGAAATATATGACAAATGAAACAATGGTGGTGACACTAAATTAACAAAGATCCAATCCGGTAGCTATTTTAAATTGCACTAGAGAGCTATTCAGAAACTTTGTCCAAAAATTACCTTCTGAACAATTCTGTATAAAGTATACTGAAACAACTGTACTGGCAAATCAGTGTACCTGCACCGAAAAGTTTAATTATAGTGACATTGTCGGGCTCTGATGCTTATACCTTCAATTCTGATTTCATAAGCAAGGTAAGAAAACAGCTATTGCAACCCCTGTTCAATGTGTGAAGCCTAGCTGAAAGTCCTTTTAGATATTATCTATGTTATATATAAAATAGATATTAGATATTGCCATCAGAACTGGAAGAACATTTAAAAAATGTCTTAATGTTAGGTCTGGTCTAGATATTGACCAGACTAATGACTACAAGGGTGAAAGTTAATTTATAAAATCTGCTAACAACGCTAAGACGGGAAAGACTTCCTACCACCTGAAGGACACCACTGGAATTCAAAAGAATTGTTTTAAGTTTGACGTCTGCATCAAAACATCAACCTGAAGAAAGCCAATAAATGGGTAAAGTCCCACACTTTGGAAGGGGACATTAGCAGCACAAATGCAAAATGAGGTAGGAAGGTAACTTTCTAAGTAGCTATTTAGCAGAACTGGTACTGGCTGTTAGTGCTAGAAGTGCCAGGTAAAAGGAAGCAATGAAAAGGGTATTACAAGATATCTATATAAGATGTTGTAGCAAGACACAAGATGGTTTTTCTGCTCTACTTGGTGCTACTGAGGCTTCATTTGGAATCTAGTACCCAGTTCTAAGCATTATCGCTTCAGAAAACCATAGACACTGGAGAGCCCTAAGAGTACAGCAAAACCAAGTAAATCAGAAGTTTACTTTTTCTCTTAAGTCACACTTACCTAGAAGAATTGGACGAATTCAGTCTAGAAGACATGGCTAGGACTGAAGGGGTATAGGTAAGGTGAATCAAAATTGCTAAATTTAAGGTGTGGAAGGGTTTCTTCCAGGACAAATTTTTCCTCGCATATACTTAAATTCTTGTAGTACACCACTGGGCTCAAAGTAAAACCAAAGCTGAAGATAGCAGGAGCAGGGTACAGACATGCAACTGTCTACACTCCTGAAGTGTTTGAACTGTTCCTGGTCCAGCTTAAGTCTGATTCAACTTGTGCTCAATTCCCATGCACAGTTCTAGAGTTAGCACGGGCCAAAGATCATTCCCAACAGGATGTGACTATTTGTTCTGGAGACTGAAAAAATAGTTTAGTGGAGACATGGACAGGCCAACCTAGCTTGGCATCTGCAAAATGCAAAACCAGACATTGACACTGTCCAATTTCTAGTAACATTTGTGTACATCTGTGCTTCTAAAGAAGAAAGTGACCGACTATTGTTTTAGGCCACACTAGCAAAAGATAGGAAAATAATCAGCTTGCAACAAAGGTTAATTCTTCACACACATCCCCCTCCGATATCTAATTTTCCTGACCAACAGGATGGTGAAGCATGCATTAGCTAGAAGAAACAGAAATTCTCACCACTGGGGAGTTTACCTGACATTGGTAAAGTAAAATCAAGTTAGATGATCTGGTCTCTTCTAGCTCTTCTTTTCTAGGATTTATTTATTTATATCTACTTAATTTTCAAGTTTCACTCTCGAATCTTATGGGAAAAGATATGCCACGCCATTAAAGCCCTCTCCATTGCCAAGACCTTAAACAGGGCTCTATCTCCCTTGCTAGGGGACTTCAAGGCAGGATATACTTTTATGCCGTTAACAGCATAGCACAAGGATCACGCATCTTCTTTCCTGTGGTATTGAATGACAAGCAGTCTGGCAAGCAAGCTCTCTATAAGGATGAATTTCATCTCCCAGCAAGTGAGTTGTGAACTCGAACAAAATCCAGAGAGCTCTCTTCACACGTTACAGAGGTACCCCTCAACCCTCTTCCTCAAAAGCACCATATAAACCTTCGGCCAATGCTGCTCTTAGCTTTCTAAGTTCTAAACCAATGAGAGAAAAAAAAGAAGAAAACCAATGAAAGAAAGGAACACAACTTTAAAAACATGAACATATTACTTCACAAAGTACTTCCAAGGAGAGGTACCTTAGCACACAGCTGTAATCAGTATGGCAAAGCTTCTGCTTTTTGAGGTCACTGTCATTGATGTTTTAACTGTTTAAGACAGAGTATTAAACACAGGTGTCAGTTCTAAGAATGATGTTCTCATGCTGCAGAAGCTCAATTCTACGTATCTTGCCCAGACACAAAGCTATCAGGGACTTTCCTTGAATAGGGAGCCTAAGTCCACAGAACAAACCCTGAAGGCAGCAAAAGGAAAACCAAAACAAAACAAACAACCAGAACCTCTGCACTCAGTAACAGACCTTCTACTTTGACCACATACCAGATTTAGAAATTTCCCAATAACAAAAATAAGTTAACTGCAGAATTCAACTAATAAATCCAGTGCTTCAATATTGGCCAGATAATGCAAGGAATAGCACCTGTAGTCATGTCATGTTCCTTCACTGTAGACTCGCTGCTATTCTAAGTTGCATTTGTCACCCAAGTCTACGAGGATAAAAATTCCAAAGTCTACCTGGAGACATATATGCAACACCATGTACACCACCACAATTTGGTTAAAGTCCTACAACAGTTAAACAGTCTATAAATAAAATATGGTAGCTTTTAAAATATTCACATACTTTTGGGGTGATCTACTATCAACTTCAGCTTTTAGTCGCAAATTCTCTCTTAAAAGGCTATTGTTTTCCATGCTCAGTTTCTTATTTGCCTAAGGAAAAGAAAAGGAAAAAAAGTAAGTATACAGTAAAACAGAAATGACTTCTAATATTTATAGGACAAGCTGTTTCTCCTTTTTAAAGAGACAGAACTAGAAACATGAAGGCAGGAACAGCCTTCAGACAGGGACACCACTTAAAAATCACCATGGGAAATGGCTTGCAAAACTGAATAGCGAACAGACATTTTTTATTCATATTCCCAAAATACATCGCAAGTGTCCTATCTAGGGAAATAAACACAGCTATGTTAGTTAGTACAGAAAGTCATTAAGGAGATGTACTAATGGCAATTCCATGTTTTTTTTTTTCCACATGACTAAATACGTTAAGTACATTAACATTACAATGTGCAGGTATCAGCAAAACTGATGTTGAACAGCTTCCCCCATTCCAAATTAGAGTAAGATTACTTTGGTTTTTTTGGCTTGTTGTTTTTAAAGCATAGTTATCCTATGGATGTAAATCCATTACAACAAGCTATTTGCAGTCTTCACGTTCTTCCAGGACGTTGTGATTAAGACTCCTGATTCACAACCCTTCTTACTCCTTGAATTGAGGTCAATTCCTTCTTCTCAGTTCAGCAGACACCCTTGTTAACAAGATACTTCATATAAAGAGAAGTTTTCCTGCTGCCGTGTTTCAGAACAATGAATGCCACCATCCTAACAAGTAGAAAATAATCTTTGCACTTCATAGTCTGCTCAATCTCCGTATGCTGAAAACAGCACCACCAGTCCAGGACTCGTAATTCATAGCCTCAATTAGAGGACGCTTCCACTGCATAATAAAAGTATGATCTAGAGTTAGATCCGAAGAAGGAGCTATGCAACTGGGCTTAGGAGTGAAATGTACTTTTTCAGAATCAAACAGTGCAAGAAGAGAAGCAGAAAACTCTAAATACTTATACAAATATCCCCAGCAACCTCTCCAGGTAAGGCTAAGACAGTTGGGGGTAGGGGGAATGGAGCAGGAAAAAAAACAAACAACCAAACCCCTCACTATCCCCCCCAAACACCACAATATTCCTAGGGGCAGAAAGAGTAGAGACTTCTGGTAAAGAAGGAATAGGAAGGGTGAGCCCAGGCTTGGGTGCCTGAGTGTCAACTATTTGGTATTTAAAAAATAAAAGCACAAAAACTATCCTGAAAGCAATGAGTAAGAATCCAGGACACCTCACTTCCAAAGGAGCATCAAATCATTTGACAACATGTCCAAGACCTTTCTCTCTTTCCAGAGACACAGTTCCCCCAGCCACACAATCAAATAGGAAATTGCATGACTTGCATAGAGTTGGTAGGTAGGGCATCCACCTGGCACATGGCAAGGCAGGACTGAACCTCTTTGGTGTCCTTCTTCCACAGAGTGCTCTACCCTCCAAGCCAGTAATCTGCAAGGGATCCCCACTTGCAGCACAACATCTAGATTAATGAGTTCATGTAACCGCATTATTAATGAGTGTACTTTGTCTAGTACTTCTACTACTGGGTTTGTATCACCACTTCCATACTCGTTATGGCTCCACTCAAAGTCATAATGCCTACTTTGGGAGTCTCTGCTCTAGGACATTAAATGATAAAGGTGTTTGCTATTTCCTGACAGTCTGGTTTTAAAAAGAAAGTGATGGCAACCACATTTTCTGAGGGATGCTGTCTCACTGGGAAGCGATGGGTGGTTGAAGCTCCTGGGTCAGGTACTTTAGGGGATAAGGTTTCTGGTGTACATGGGAAAGAGGTCTTGCTGTTCAGACTGAACAGGTCTTGCTGTTCAGACTGGGGTTGGTCAGTGCATGCTCAGAAGTCAAACAAGGTCTAAAAGAAGAGCCAAGTGATTTTAGGTACTCCTGGAATTGAGCAGCTGTTGAACAGGGAACAGATGGAAAGAGAGTGCCTGGATCACCGTTTAAGACTTGGTCCCTAAAACCCATCTAAACCTCTATTTGTACCTAACCCTTAACCAAATTCAGAGACTCCATAAACTTAAGACTTTTTTCTTGCTAAGGCTGAAGTTATATTGAAAAAAACCCAAACACACCTCTCCCTCAGTCCCTGCTCTATTATTCTTTTTACTTTCCTAGGGGAAAAGTTAAAAACCTTAGTCACCACAAAAAAAAAAAAAAGAGGCAGTACAGTTTAACTTTACAGGGGAAAAAAAAACCCAAACAAAAAATAGGCAGACAAGAACTCCTTGCTGCGAATCCCCTTTTGCCAACTACAAGTGACTCTGAAGCTCCTGGGATCCTCTTAAGAGGGCAGAAGATGTGTCCCAGCCTGTAAAGTTGAAGTCTGAGTCTAGCCAAGTTATTGAAAAAGCTAATTTTGGAAACTCAGTTTATTCCTTTTAGTGTTTATTACACAGTCCAATCACAGCCACAATTTGCTTTAGACCACACAGAGACAAACCTAGGAGCGTCCCATTAACAATAACAGAATGGCAGAACAGTGTAACGTGGGCCTCTGAGTCTGTAGCACAGGAAAAGTGTAAACACTATTAATGCTTACAAAGGAAAAAAGTCCTAAACACCTAACACTTCAGTTTTGCAGGGGGCAACCCAGGATTGTTAATAGAAGAAATAAAGGCAGCATTCTGAATAAATGCAAGTCCAGTTCTTTCCACCTTGCCTTTCAAATTAATCTTGAAATTTCACTCTTCTTGAATGTTTGAGGTGATGCTTCTTGCACCCGCAGCTATTTTGCAAGGTATTTTTATTTAGATGTATTTTCACATGACTATCTCCTGCACCCCTCCTTCTGCAGTATCAGGTTTTCTTTTATATTACATTCAAGACGTATAAAAAAGCCACAGGTTTTCAGTAAAGGACCTTCTGGTCATAAATGCTAAAGCTTGTCTATTTTCGGTCAAAGGGTCAAGTTACTCTGTCTCAGCAAATTGGACCAAAAATATCGGTTAGCAGGGAGGGCAATAGTGCAAAATCTGCCTCAGCCAACTGTACTGTGTTTGGCGACTGAATGTTGTGAAATAGATATATTATATAGATTATTGCAAGCCTGAAAAATCTGGTCATCAATACTGGTGACAAGTGCTACTATAATCCAATTACCCAGTCATACAGTGTCAGAGGAGTTGAAGAAGAGTCACATACAAGACTCCCTAGAACAAGCAATAACACCTGACACTTGCAAAGGCTATATGGAAATACTATGATACACCGACAGCCACTGGAATTCAATTTTTTCCTCTTTCTTCTGGATCTATGAAGTACCCAGAGGTCATGCTAGCTCTCACTCCTGTTTAACTAACACGAAACAGTTACACTACAAGATAGCTGAAGAAATGTATTTATTACCTCCTTTAACTTTTCTACATTATCCATCACTTTTTCATATATATCATTGGCAGCTTTCAGCTTTTTGCTCCATTCCTCTGGGGTTTCTGGGCCACTGGTACTTGCTTCATCTGCTGACTGGCTAGTTTCCTCATTTTGGCAAGACAAAGCTGATGCTGTAGGATCCAGAAGAGATTTCAGCTGTGTCTGTAAACTGAGATTTTTACCTCTCAGATCTTCCACTTCTTTTTGCAGGGATTCTATTTCATCCTAAAGGTGTCAGAAATTCACAGGAATGAAAATAATGCGTGAGATTAATTAAATAATACTGGCAACTTCCCACAGCACTTTAGAAACATGGGTTCTCTGGCAAGCTCAGATGCATGCCTTCACTTACACATATATCTAAGTATGCTTATGTTTTGTGCTCTAGGCAGGATTTTAATCAACCTGCACACTCAAGCATAGTGAAGGTTTTAGTGAAGGGAATCCCCTGACTACATAAAGGACCTTGAACAAACTGGCGGGCAGACCAAAAGCTTCAAAGCATGCAGCAACAAGAATCTATTATTAGGGCACCCTGTGGGAGGATTTCCCGTATCAAGAGTGTTCTTAAGGTCGTCCTCTGCTGACTCATTTGCTGTTATTTGAGAATGTTCCTCTTGTATCATTCGGAAACATCACGTTTGGATGCTGAAAGTCTCAAGATTCAAAATGGACAGAACACTGCCTGGAAGAGGCTGCTCCGGCTATGCAAAAGTAGCAACATCTTAGGAAAGACTCTCAAAATCCAAAGAACAAAGCTCTTGGCTGTATCGGTCTGAAGCCACAGAGAAGCAAAAACCTTCAAAAGCCTGTTAGAAGGATAAAAGAAATAATCTATCCTGAAAACATGTCTTCTACACTGTTCACCAACTTAAATACTTGAGTTGCTCAAGATCAGATTACTAAAGGAGGTCATATATAGCACTTACATAAATCCAAGGTGTATTTGCATGAATAACCAAGCTTCCCCCCGCCCCAGCATGAGAACAACCATTTTAAATTTAAGTATTTTTGAAGAGATTTATGTTATCCTATGCCTATCTCTGTGATTTTGGAGCTGATTCAATAGAAAGGCAAGAAACCTCCTTTTCCTGACTCCTCCTTTCACAGACGATGAAAGAAGCTGAGATACAGGCAAGCTTGTCATAAAAGACAGCCCTTACTTCCCCAGTGTTAAGGATATATACAGTGTCCCTTTCCCTTCTCTCATTCTCCTCCCTGAGACAGGTTTCCTTGCAAAATACACGATGTCTTGACACTACTGCTACTACAGAAACAACAGCTGAGAAAACAAACTAAGCATATTCCTTATTAACACCTTTTCACCTTGTTCCTAAAAGAATATTTTTCCAGCAGGAGAGTGGAGATAGACTTCCAAGCACTCTCTCACTTTCAGAAAACAACAGATCAATGAAGATAAAAATTAACCTATGCCATAAGGTTGCAGTAGGCAATATTCTTTAAGAAGAAATTTAGGTTCCCTGAGCAACAGGGAATTACTTCAGAAAATGTTTGTATCAAAGACAAAACAAAAAGCCCCCAACACCTAATATGCATAAAGAAAACCCTCCCATACCACCTGGGGGTGGAATTCCCACACAACTATGGAATTGGCTGTATTTGGCTACCTGTAACATAGACTTCAGCGGGATCACTTCAAGCACCAGCAAATGCTCTCTCGTAACCTTGGCCAGAAGGTGGGATTGTAATGCAGCTGAGTTTCATGTAGATTCAGTATGAACCTTTACTCAAATTAAAAACAATGGGACTCAAAGCAAAAGGACCAGTTGTATGCAGTAATTAACAGTTGCAGGTCATCTGGAAAGTCACAACACTCCCCATGTCCTTACCTCGTATTCTTTGTGGAGCAATTCAAGCCTTGTTTTACGTAGGTGTTTTCTGACTGTCGGACTAAATATAGGATCACTTTCACTCGCTCCTCCTAAAGCAGCACAGGATGAAAGAAACACTGATATTGTTTTCTTTTCAGTCAATTCAATACTAGTAATTCACCTTACAGTGTTTTTCGTATTATCAACTACAAATACAGCTAATATTGGACCAGTCTACTACCATGTGAGATTTAAAGTCCTTTCATTTTCAGAATAGGTTAAACAGGATTATGTATTAGTGATGTTTAGAAGTCAAAATCCTGCCTCACAGCAGGAAGACAACTACTGAATTTTTCAACTTTGTATTTTCCTTGACAGAATCCTACCTTATTTAAGACCATACTATTAGAACAGAGCCAAGGGTGGGGCAGGGGGGGAAAATCAAGCATAGTACAAGATAGTGTAAGTTCAGGTATATTTTTCTCTCAGAATCAAATAGCAGAGCTGACATTTTATGTCAAATAAAGATCGCAGCATTTCCTAGCTCCGGGGAAGTTCAGATCTTCATTCAAGTGTTGTAGCTTTGACTTATTTCTGTGCTAAGAGACATTTTCTTAAAAATAAAGCAAAAGGAAGGAAATGGTGAACAAAACAAGCAAAAAAAAAAAAAAGACCACAGACTCATTCAAGATTCTGGATTTAAGTACACTATTTCTCAGCTAAATGCTATTCTCTCTTAGGTCAACAGGTTGCAACGCATAGGTAGAGTACCTCAAGTGAGATGCATTCTTTCCAGTTAAAGGCACCATCCAACCAAGATTTAAAAAACAATCGTTAGAGCCATGGGGTGCTTGCTGCCTTTGAATAATCTAGTCATTAATACACACATCATCTTCAGAATTTTTACCTTGTAGGTATTATGTACGCTTTCGGAAAGAGTTAAAGTCAGATCTTCCTTAGACGCTGGTAAAAAAAAAAAAAAAAAAAGCACAGAGGAAAAAATATCCAGACATCTTTGGACTGAAAAGAATCTCCTCCAGCGGTAAATACCAGAAAGTTATTTCAAAGCCTAAAGTTGTCCTTACCTATAATTTCCTTGCAAGGATTTTCAGGCGTGATGGGAATCCTGCAAGCTGGACACTGATTATTGTTCTTCAGCCACACTTCAATACAAATGGAACAGAAGACATGGTTGTTGACACAGATGACCGGGTGACGGACCTTTTAGTATTAAGGGGAGTGGGGAGGAGAAAAGAAAACAAGCAGAAAGACACTATGAATACTTTAAAACTCTTTTAGGTAACAGAATATGAAAATACACTACTCCATCTCTCAGTGCAAGTCTGGTCTTGCAGGAAAGAGACACTGCTGTTTCGCAGGACTGACCTCCTGACTCACAACACCAAACTTCCCTACTATTTAAGGCACCAAAGCTATAACCATTTTTGCAAAACTAAGGTCCTTGATTCCAAGAGCTCATTAATACACAGTGTGGCAGGCGCCATTCCTTCACCCCACAACCTCCAAGAACTGCAGCCAACCACTCCAGTGAAATGCATTAGCCTCCCTAGGTAGGAGGAGGCCAAAAGACACACATTAACTGATTTCCAAAAGGAGGGAATGAGGGATTGCTCCTGGCAGCAACCAACACTTTGCCTTGGAAGAGGTGTCACTGAAACGATAGTGTTACAGATTAACTCTAGCCTGCACATAATCAGCTTCATGGAAATTAGCCTTAAAAAGGATAAGGGCCAAACCCACAGAGCAGAAACATGAACCAGCAATCACTAATTCAAGCCTCCTGCTAGATATGCATTGCTACTAAATAAGTCATTACCCAAGAATGGGGCAGCTAACTGAAGGATTAAATATTCCAATCAGACACAGATCCTTTCACGAAGCTTTCCCTCCCCTTCCAAAAGAGCAGGGTAAACAAACTTTTAGAAAATATTAATGACAATGCATTATTCTCTTGTCATTTAACTATAAACCCTGTTTGAAAGTAACTGTGCATAGAGGGACCAAATATGATACGGAAGAAAGACTTTCCCCTATATCTATGCCTTACTGCAGCTTCTGTTACAGCTTACTGTAATACACACTCTTAAATCTCTTAAGACTTAACAGTACTATCTGTGTTAGGGGTCTTAGAAATAATTATTTATTTTTCCTCCACCACTATCTTTGCCCAAGAAACGTGTTTTGAGACACAGAAGTAGCAGTATCTATTACTTTAGAGTCTACTGTGTTGCACTTAAAACCCAAGCTAAGAGAACTCTTTCAACTTTAAGATAAGTCCTCATCACCCCCAAGATCTTCCTCTTTCATTCTATTAGTAAAGTAGTCAAACTAAAAAAGGAAAAATGAAACATTGGCAGGGAGAACCAAGCACCTGGAAAGGACAGCCAAAAATCAGTTTGGAAAAGAGATTAGATGTGTCCTGTAGTAATCACACCCATACACAATCAGTGTTGCACAAACTAAAACCCAAGCATTTTATCACTGAAATACACACGGACCTGAATTAAGGCTCAGATCTGTCAACTACTTCTCCAATTTACTATCTATGCCTCTGTCACATTACAGGATTCACAGTATCTTTTAACACCTCCAATATGACAGTCCTGGGAGCCAAAGGGTTTATCGATACACAAATAGAAACTCAAGTTATTGAAGGTGTGAATAGAGAGAGACTAAGCAATTTCTCCAAGTGTCTGCACACTTTCAGCTCTATTTAAGGAGGCTTTTTTGTGATTAATGCAAGCATTAGCATACCAATGCTTTGGAAATGTTTAAATATTACAATTTCAATTATTCAAAAAAAAAATCATTTTGTTATTTACTGCTTTTCTTTAGCAGAAAAAGAACTTTCTCCAGCTTTCCCACCAGCAGCTAGAAGAAAAAATCCCACAACTTTTCCTCTGGCCATACTTCTTTTTTCCTCAGAAGCAGCCTGAGAATAGTTATATGGATGGTGATGATAGGATACAGAGCAGAATAACTTAAAATAATCCAAACAGGAAAAGACATTTCAGGAGTGCAAGTCTCCCCACCGGGGAGCAAGAGACCCTCGGTTACCCCAAACCTGACATGGAAGTGCACTTCTTGCAGGTGGATGATTACTCCGTATCTCTAGCAAAATAGTAAGTCACATTTATTACTCTCCAGGGTACAGTGTTTCTGATTTACACACCTTTACAAGTTTCATTTCAGGGCTGAGGTTTCTACTTCTGTTGGCTCAGGATCCACCCAAAGCAATCCACGGGACAACAGCAGAAGCCGCTATTGAAATGTCACACAATGGCTGGGGGTGCCGCTGCCCTTCACCGAGTCCCTGAGCCACCGACTGTGGCAAGCCCGGGGGGTGGGGAATCGCAACACACTCATTACTAAAAAAGCGTTTTACTTGAATTACAGCACAGTTTCAGTTCCTTAATCGACCATAATGTCTAGAAAGACTACAGCTTATTTGGGAAGGCTTGATCAGCTAGGTGATTTTAAGCCATTTCCTAATTTTTCCCCACACCTAATGCGATTCCTACACAGATCAAAATCAAATCCTGTACACATCTATGTCACTTTGAAGGCACTTCTGGACCTTCAAGCAGCACCAACAGAGGAGCAGGCTTGTGGACAAGCAGGCACACTGGTACCAGTGAACGAATCCCCAGACATCCTAGGGGGTTTCAACACACACAGAACTGAGCCCAAGCAAACTGTCAATGCCAAAACCAACAGGAGAGACCTTCAGTCATTCTAGGATGAGTAAACCTAATGTCCTGATGCAGATGGCTTCTGATCTGCTCACTAATTATGAATACAGATATGTTAGAAGATAGCCCAGACTGAGTTAAAAGAACATTCAGGTAACAAACATGAAATTTATCCAAGCAATTAACTCTTATTATAAATGGTTATTTGCACATCTTGCCAATATACTTTACAACACTGTTCACACTAACAAAATGGGCTAATGTGTGTCGTCCCGTCCCCCCGCCCCCCCGAGATTTCTCCTTCATTAAAAACGAGTGGTTGACATTATTGAATGAGTTTCTCTTCAGTATCTCTTTTTATCCCCTTACCATTATGCACAGTGAATTGTTTCTATTTTGCAGCCAGTCCTTTGCAAATTTTGTAGAGATAGCAAGAGGTACATTCCGATTGTAGGGTGGGCCTTCTACTCAATTTGAAGCCTATGCTACAAACCACAGAAGTATTATGTCAACCCTCCATGACACTTTCTGCCCCCCCCTACAAGATAGGGCAAAACTGGCAAGATTTTTCCCTTAATTTAAACTAAATAACTTTTTCTTCCTCTAACCTTACTCTTCAAAAGAGAAAAGCTTTTTCTGATGACGTTTTTCAAAGAAGTTCCAAGCTGGAGACAGACGTATTAAAAAAAAGGACAGACAGAGCTGTCAACTTTGGCAAACTTTAAACAGCTCCAGACATCTAAAAAGGAAAGCATTTAAATACCTTTATTACACATATCACCAGTGGAGTCACTTATATAATGTTAATATATTACCTCAGTGCAAGGTACCAAGTAAGAAGAGTGTGGAAATCTCTTCCAGTACAAACTCAGGAACATCAATTCCTGACCAACTCCAGAAAAGAAGTGGAAGTACGAAACAGTGGCTTGAAATAACCCAGTGGCTTTATAGCAAAATATGAGTGAATACCTAACAAATCTATCAAGTGTTTTAGATCAGAAAGTCACTGGGATCAGATTCAAATAGCAAATACACTGCCAGTCTGATTTCACTCTTCTCTTTTTCAAGAATATCCACTCTGCATTACAGGCACAGTAAATTTGTTTTCTCCTCCATTTTCATTAAACAGATAAATAGAAAAGGAGAGGTAACAGGACCACAGCCAGGAAGTCTTGCTCGGCTTCCACAGAAAAGCCAAGAAATGAGTAAGCACGGTTGCCAAAAGCATCACTCTCTGCCAGAGTTAAGAGAGTTGAGAAAAGGGAGATGTCGACTACTTTCACTACCAGCGCTATGCCTACTTTATACATCAAACGCGCCTGTTCTTTTGTTATCACTCCAGCAGAAAAAGGTCTCGGAGTAAAGGCCACGTGAGGTAGAAAGAAACCGGACAGTAAATGTCAGAGTACAAACATAAAAGGTTATTTCTTCCCTTGTAATTACTATTGGGCTTTAAGAGGTTTGTTTTGTTTTGGAGAGCAACGAAACAAGGAAAAAAATAAGAGCAAAGGATTTGAGAAGCAATTAGTGACGACTGTGAAATTAGCTCTGGGGCTTTTAGAAAAGAACAGACTAGCAAGAGCCCTCCGCTTCCCGAGGGAGAAGAGAAAGGGACTGAGAAAGGGTCAGAAAGAGGGAACGGAAACTTCTTCTCCAGACTGCTGCAGTTTTGCTCAATACTTTTTAAATCCACTCGGTTATACGTCCCCTCTTTGTTTCGCTTGTCCTCTACGACACAGCACCACGCTCAAACACACACTCACCTAATATTTTAAAACATTCCAGCTCCTACAGATACCCGAAGAAGAAAAACCCTCAAAACCTTCACCCTGGGAGCCATTCGCCCACCTTTCGGCGCGGGGCCGACCGGTGCCTCGGGGACTGGGGGCCCCAGCCCCCTCTAACGGCCCCCGGGAGGCTCCCGCCGCGATGGCGCACGGTTCCCACCATCCCAAGGGCGGCAACAAACCTCGCCCGCAGCCGGGACCGGCCCCCCCGGGGACGGGATCCCCTCCTCCCCGAGGCGGGACCCCCCACCCCCCCCAGGAGAAGCGACCCCCCCGCCTCGGGAAAGAGACCCCC